TCATGAGCTTATTATCTGAATTTATTGGAACTTATTTTGTTTGCAAAAGCAAAGAATTGTCTATTGTATAGAAAAGAAGACTCTGAAGCTTGTTCTTGCTGAATTTTTGGTTCTATTACCATCACCAAAATTGGAAACATTGAGAAAAGCTGTACGTAGTATGCTTTTTGCTTCATTTTACTGGTGGATTATGATGGATATAATCTATGGACAGATTATGTACCTTTTTTTTTGGATTTCTTATAATCAACCCTTTTCTTGAAGCAAATTAAGGTTTGTTACAATTGTAAGCTCAGTTACTTATTCAATTATATGTTAGAGGTTAGTTGACTTGCATAAGTTCTAGAATTGTTGTTTATTAAAGAAGTTAAAAATTATGGATCACTAGGAAATATAGGAATTTCCAAGTTCCAGTGTGTTGTTGCATGTGTTTGCCTTTGAGCAAGTTTGATGCCTTAAAGCTTAAATTCTACACAAGTAGACTTTGTAGGCTTGCTATAATTTTCATTTCTTCAATGTTTGGGTAATATACATGTAAGGGAAGATACCTCATTGTGTGAGATCTAGGACTGTTGTAGGTTGGCCTAAAGACTATGTTAAGGTAGTGTAAAGCTGTAAATGCCTTAACAGATTGTTTACCTTCTCTGGTTGCAAATGAGGATGTTATTAGCTCCCTTAGTCAGCTTTAAAGGAGTGATTTCATAAAGTGAAATGGAAGACAGTTAGAATATCTTATTGCACCTATAAGGTAAATCTTGGAAATTTTAAGTCGTTTTTTTGCAGTTTATATACGGGCCAAAGTATCTTGTTTTATGCACTCTACTTTTATGTTGCATTTTGCTTATTGGCTTATATATAATTTATTTTGGAGATAAATTTTTTGACCTTTTAGGGTTAAAACTTAAAATTGCAAAAAAAATTGGATCTTGCCCTAGGGCACGCTTAGAAATTTAGAATTGTAAAGTTGTCTCCTTTCTTTCAGTATGGCTTTCCAATCAATTTTTGTGATCTAAATTTGCTAACTTTGATATATATATATATATATATATATATATATATATATATATATATATATATATATATATATATATATATATATATATATATATATATATATATATATATATATATATATATAGGGGAAGGATCCGGTGAGAATAAGTTCATATGTGAGAATTCATACTTATATGAGAACTGATCTAGTATTTAGAACACGTGAGTAAAAATTTAGAACATGCGACTCAAATTTAAATTTAGAACATATGATTAATAATTTAGAACATATGACTAATAATTTTGAACATGTGCTTGAGCAATAATTTAGAACATCTGATTTAAGAATTAGAACATGTGAGTAAAAATTTAAAAAATTTGCTTTATGAAATTTAGAACATATGATTAAAATTTAGAACATCTGATTTAAAATTTAGAACATGTGAATAAAAAATTTAGAACACTTGGTATAAAATATAGAAATTGGGAGTAAAAATATTGAACATATTAGTAAAAATATAGAATATGTGAATAAAAATTGGAACATATGCTTTCGAATTTAGAACATATAACTAAAAATCTTAGAACACACGCAAGTTTTAAAATTTAAAACATATAAGTTAAAATTTCGGAATAAGTCATTCGAAATTTATAACATCTAACTTAACTAATTTATGGTTTAGAACATGTGAGTACTAATTTAGAACATCTGATTTAAAATTTAGAACATAAAAAGTGTTCTCACATAAGAAAAATTCTCACGAGAGCCTCCCCCTATATATATATATATTGCGACTTATAACATGAAATAACTTAGAAAACCTTATAGTCAAATTATCAAATTCTACTGTCAAACGAGGACTATCTGTGTAAAACAAAAGGATTACTTGTTATCTTTTCTCCTCCTCTTTCCTGATCTAGACTTTTGCAGTGATTGCAGGATGGTCGGCGTGTTCATGTGATTGAAAGAGACTTAAGTGAACCTGACAGAATAGTTGGGGAGCTTCTACAGCCAGGAGGATACTTGAAATTGATTGAACTGGGCCTTGAGGGTATGCACAGAATCTGGTTGTGTTTTTATAATAGTCCTGCACGCATGTTTTCCAGAATATTTTACCTTCAATTATTTTCAGCAAGTGATTTGGAGTTTTTCACTGTATTTATTCATCTCAACCTTTCAGACTGCGTTGGGAATATTGATGCACAGAGGGTGGTTGGATATGGTATTTTCAAAGAAGGGAAGAACATAAGAATGTCTTATCCCTTGGAACAATTCCATTCAGATGTGTCTGGGAAGAGCTTTCACAATGGACGTTTCATACAAAGGATGAGAGAAAAGGCTGCTTCTCTTCCCAAGTACTTTTGTTTTCTCTTCACTGTGTTTAATTTGTTTCGTTGAACAAAAGGTTTGCTATCGCATTATCTATTGCACTAATTACTGAATCTCCATTTCCTTCTATTTTGTTCCAGTGTGCGGTTGGAACAGGGAACAGTTACATCATTGCTTGAGTTAAAGGGAATAGTCAAGGGGGTTCACTACAAGACCAAGAATGGTGAGGAGTTGAAGGTCTATGCACCTCTCACAGTTGTCTGTGATGGTTGCTTCTCGAATCTGAGACGTTCTCTTTGTTCACCAAAGGTGATAGTTTCTTCTTAAAGTCTTAATTGGTCATCGATACTCTGTATAGTCTTTCTTTTACGTCTTTAAACTTGAGGATTTAATTTTGATTTACCAAACAAATTATATCTAGCTTTTGCTTTTCCCTGTTAGATGCTTGGCATGCGTCTCTTGCTCACTGTGTCGTCTCATTTCATAGGTTGAAGTGCCTTCACACTTTGTGGGGTTGGTGCTAGAGAACTGCCAATTGCCTTACGCGAATCACGGACATGTTATTTTAGCGGACCCCTCACCTGTTTTGTTTTACCCTATTAGTAGTACAGAAGTCCGTTGCTTGGTTGATGTACCAGCAGGGGATAAGTTGCCTTCTATCGCTAATGGTGAAATGGCCAAGTATCTGAAGACAGTGGTGGCGCCTCAGGTGTGGTGGATATATATATATATATATATATATATATATATATATATATATATATATATATATTATATATATATATATATATATATATATATATATATATATATATATATATATATATATATATATATATATATATATATATATATATATATATATATATGCTATCTTGTTACTTCCTTGTTCTTTTCTTTGGTAATTTGAATCCTTCTGGCATCATGATTCCAACGAGTTATGTTACTGCATCAGGTACCTGCTGAAATTAGAGATTCATTTGTAGCAGCAGTTGACAAGGGGAATATAAGAACAATGCCTAATAGAAGCATGCCTGCTACTCCTCAGCCTACTCCTGGAGCCTTACTATTGGGCGATGCTTTCAACATGCGACATCCTTTAACTGGAGGTGGGATGACAGTGGCATTGTCTGATATTGTTGTACTCCGAAACCTTCTGAGGCCTTTGAAGAACCTAAATGATGCTGATTCGTTGTGCCATTATCTGGAGTCTTTTTACACCTTGCGTAAGGTATATGCATGCATTATGCAAACATGACAACAATTACACACACACATGATATACTCAAAATAAAAATGTGCGTGTGCGTGTGTTTAAACTGGATATGCTAAGTTTTAGATGTCAATTTTTCTTGCAGCCTGTGGCATCTACAATCAACACTTTGGCAGGTGCCTTGTATAAGGTGTTTTGTGCTTCATCTGATGAAGCTCACAAGGAAATGCGTGACGCTTGCTTTGACTATCTTAGCCTTGGAGGAGTATTTTCAAATGGCCCAATTGCTTTACTCTCTGGTCTAAATCCTCGGCCATTGAGCTTAGTAGCTCACTTCTTTGCTGTGGCTATATATGGTGTTGGTCGCCTGTTGATTCCTTTTCCTTCAATAAAGGGACTTTGGCTTGGCATAAGATTGCTATCGGTATGACATCTCCTCTCTAAATGTAGGCTTATTTTAGTCTCATGTTTGTTACACATGTTTTTGTAGCAAATTGCAGCTGAATTTATGCTCTATTTGGCAAACCTACCTGAAAGTATCAAGTTTAATGTAAAAAGGGGGTTATTACTAGTTGAAGTTAAAAACTGTTACATTTGCAATTGTTTTGGTAAAACTAATTGTTGAAGTAGATGAAAATCGCAAACCAAAATCAAAGATCATTATTTTTATAGTTGATATCTGATTCCAGTAGGTACTTATGGACAATGTCAAAATTAGAAATTAAAAATAATGCTGACCAGTACGAGGTGTGCTTCCGTTACAGACCAGTAGCACCTAAACTATTTCCTTTAAATACTAGTAGCCAAATTTAAATACTCTGATCTGTAGCTGTTTATTTTACCTTAGCTTAGCTGGAATGACTGCCAAAGACTTTGATTCCAGTCTCTTGTGAGAACCTTCATAGTTGTGGCTGCCTTTTTGTTTCCTTTTGCTTGCTATGGTCAATGAAGAATACTACGCATTTCTATTGCCAATTTGATTGACAAAACTGTTAATCTCTTTTGCAGGGTGCAGCCGGCATCATCTTTCCCATAATGAAGGCAGAGGGACTTAGGCAAATGTTTTTCCCTTCAACTGTTCCAGCATATCATAGGCGTATTCATGTAAAGTGATGCTTCTAAAACAGTAAAGAAGATAGTTCACGCATCCAAAATTGGCTGCTATGGTGCTGAATATACTAGTCTCTTTGAAAGTTAATCAGGCTTGTTCTTTATAAGCTGCTATTAAGAGCAAACCGGAGTTAATTGTATTAAGATACCACTTCTATTTATCGAACTTCATTCATGATTATCAAGGCTGTCATAAACTGATTTATATGTATATTTTTCCATTATGAATGTTATACTTTCTTCTTTTTTTATTTCTATTTACTTTTTGGATCCAAAAGTTTTTTTCAACCATATACGAAGTACTATTACTCGTACTAGTATACTACTTGCTGGTTCTTGGTCTATAACAAAGTAATGCGTTTTTTGTATTTATTTTTTAATTATTTGGTTTTTCGTTTAAATACTGTATTATTCATTAGGCAGGTGATGGATGGTGGAGGTCCATTTGTTTCAATACAACGCCAGATTGCTACCTGCTATAGCTAATAATATGTGCTATTCCCATAAAAACAATAAACAAGGACTACAGTCAGACAAAGATGCTGCATATATTAAGGGATAAAGCTTGGTTAGTGTATGTATGTTGTGAGGGCGTAAGGCAGTAGCAAGCAATATCAATGGACCCCAGAGCTAAAGGAGGCATTCTCAGGAGATGTAGGATTTCTGAAACGATTGTCCAAGGCCGTTCTCTTTCCTCTTGAATTTCTGAATTAAGAGCTCTAATTTTTTTGTTCACTATCTACTGAAACCACCACAAACCAAATATCAGAACAATCGAGTCAATATTCTGAAGCTGGAGCTGGCACTAATGAAGTTGTGTTAAAGAAGACGGTCAAATTGATTTTTCGACATTACTATGGCTTGATCCAACTGCACCCAGGTTGCTTTATAACTCGAACTGTTTTCATCAATTCCCTAACTTGAGCTGCATCTTCCCATTGTCCAGCATTTGCATGAATATTTGACAGCAATACATAAACTGCTGGGTCGTTTTTCTCAGTTTGAAGAAGCAACCCAGCAACAATCCTTCCCAGCCTTACATTTCCATAGACTGCACATGCACTAAACAGAGTCCACCAAATATTCGGATTAGCCTTGTAATCCTCACTCTCAATTAGTCTCTCCATCTCATCAATGTATCCAGCTCGTCCTAGCAGGTCTACAAGGCAAGAAAAGTGATCTATTCCAGGTTCCAACCCATAATCATTAATCATTGCATTAAATATGCGAATGCCATCGCAAATTAAACCAGCACGACAACAAGCAGATAAAACAGCAGTAAAAGTGGCTTGGTCAGGTTTAAGCCCAATCTCATTATGCATCAATGTGAAGTACCTGACAGCTAGTTTCCCTTCTCCATATTGTGCTAATGCAGAGATTATGGCATTCCAACTCACAATGTTCTTTGTGATCATGCATTTAAATACCTTAACAGACCAATCCAGAAGCCCGCATTTTGCATACATGGTGATGAGGCCATTCCCCAAGGAGATTTCATTTAGAAATAAACGTCTTAGGATATAGCAATGGACCTGCTTTCCATGACTTAAGGCTGAGACGCTGGAACAGATGCTCAATACAATAGTTAAAGTGTATACATCTGGTCTGATTTTTGACTTCTGTAGCTGAAGAAACAGTTCAAGAGCTTGCACAGGGTATCCATTTAACAAGAATCCCGAGATAATTGCATTCCAGGTAATCAGATTCTTAGAGTGCATGCTGCAGAATATTTGACAGGCCAGATCAATGTCACCTTGCTTAGAGCATGCAGACACCAAAGCATTAATAACTTCACTTGTTAAACTGAGGCCATTTTTCATCACAAGGGCATAGATCATCTGGACAATTTCTAAGCTACCTGAGCTAGATAAGAGGGCTCCGATTGTATACTCGTCTGGAACAAACCCAATCCTCTGCATTTTCATGTAAGTTGAGATTGCTAATTGAATATCATTGTTATGAGCATATCCAGCTATCATAGTGTTCCATGAAACAACATCCTTCACTTCCAATTTTTCAAACATTTTTCTAACAGAATCTAACAGCCCATGCTCAGCATACATGGCCATGGCAGCATTGCTCACAGCTGTGCAAGGTTCATAACCTGCCTTTACAGCCTGAGCATGTAACTGGAGGCACATGTCGAGAACCAAACCCGAGCTCATAAGGCTCACAAAAGTTAATTCAGTAGGTCTTAATCGAGCCTCTAACATTTCTTGAAATATAACCAAAGCCTCTTCCTTCCTCTCAAGACTTGCTAACCCATTGATCATTGCATTATAGGTAATCACATCGCGCACCATCTCATCTGCATCTTCAAAAAATTTACGAGCATCAATGGAATTTCCAGTGTTAAAATACATTGTAAGCAAAGAATTCACCACCGAGCTCCAACCCAAACACCCACTCTTAAACACCAACGAATGCACTTGCTTCCCAAAGCCATGTAATTCGACAACAGAACACAAGCTAAGAACGCAAGCAAAAGTGTAATTGTCATGCCTCACACCCAACATATGCATTCTCCCAAACAATTCAAATGCAATATCATCATACCCAATTTCAGAACAACCAGTAATTACAGCATTCCAAGGCGCAATATTTCTCACAGGCATTTCATCAAGCAGTTGGCAGGCATAATCAACCTGACCCAACTTAGTATATGCCGATAACAAAGTAGTCCAAGAGTAATTATCAGGGGAACCCAATTCAGAAAACACAGTTTTGACAGAACCCAAGTCCTCAGTTTTGGCATAGAGTGAAAGGAGAGTGTTTGAGACATGGGGGAAAGCTTTAAGTCCAGTGAAAATGGCATGAGCATGAAGCTGGTTTCCAAATCTGGAGTTGGGTATGTTGGCAGAGGCAGTAAGAGCAGAAGAGAGAGAATAATGATCTGGGTTCAAGCCATCAGATGAATGGATTTGCAGGAAAAGAGAGAGACAATCATGGTGACGATTTGAGCGGGTAAGTTTCGACAATTGGGAGTTGAGTTTTATGAGTTGTTTTGCTACAAGTTTGGCTCTTTGGGTGTGGCATACCAAATTCATCAGCTTGTTGCATGAGTCAAGAGCTAATCACACCTACTAGTATTAGTAACGATATCAATGCTAATCAAAGTTATCAAACACATCTCCTACGCCGCAAATTTGGCGGGTTTGGGCAGCAATTTTGGGTTGGGCATCAATTTTTGGCCTATATAGCTCAAAGTTTGCTCTTTTATATTTCAGACATAAAGTTTTCGATCTAGCTCACTATTAGGTCGGAAATGAGATTATTTAGCCAACAACGTGAACTGACTCATAATCACATCTATATTACATTATTACTCGAATATAGAATTGGCGATTTTTAACATAATGCGATTGATTAATGTTTCAAATAATAATAATAAAAAAAAAATGATATGATCACACAAGTCACAAAGAGAAACTCGAATCCAACATAACACGAGCACAAATCAAGCCTAAATCTAAGCCAAACAAGTATACCACTCGTATTGTTTAAGAAAACAAAACATGCTATTCATACGTGTACTATTTCTTTTTTTTCTTTTTTTTTGAAACCACGAGTAGAGCTATCAATTCGGTAAACGGGTCAGGTTTGGACCGGGTCAACTCAGGTCGGGTCAATTCAAATTAATTCCATAACCTATGCGGTTCGGGTTTGGGTTGGGTCATGCTTGAATCGGGTCACGTCGGGTCATACTTCTTATCGGGTATGGGTCGGGTTTAAGTCGGGTTAATAACAGGTCGAGTTACATTTGGGTCGGGTAAACAATAGGTATGGTTTGAATCGGGCTTTCACGGGTTAAAACGGGTTAGGGTAATTCTCGAGTTCGAGTCGGGTTCGGTTCAAGTCAATAATTTGCATGTTAGAATCAAATTGGGTCATTATCGGGTTTGAGTCGGGTTTGGTTCAAGTCAATAATTTGCGAATTAAAATCAGGTCAGTCATTCTCGAGTTCAAGTCGGGTTCGGTTCAAGTCAATAATTTGCTGGTTGTAATCAGGTTGGGTGATTTCCAAGTTGGGTCATTCTCGGATGCAAGTCGAGTTATGTTCAAGTCAATAAGTTGCAGGTTACAATCAGGTCGGGTCATTTCTAAGTCAGGTCATACTCGGGTTCAACTAACTATAAATAGATAATTATCATTTTTATCAAGCTAATTATTTCCTATGACTATAATATATGTGGAAATATACTAGGGAACTATAGTCTATAATTTAGGAAAATAACTATCTCCTTTGATCATGCAACAAATATATACTATATTTAACACTTAAATTTGAGGATGATGTTCCTTTCTTTTTTGGCCTGGACCGACTTGGTCTCCCAAGATTAAATGCTTTGATCAACAATAATAAGGTGGCCATAGTAGGCTTTTAAAGTGATTATTATATGTTGGTCATAATAAGGAACCAAATATGATCATTATATGTTGTTATAAATGTTCATAGTAGACTTGAATTAATGAAATCCGTGCAAGTTGTAAACTGGTAATTAAATTGGCCGTTTAAAGTCAAATTGGATGGTTCCACCAACCCAATTGGACTCCTGGAGGTTATTAGAGAACATGGTAAACATTTCAACAATTTTCATTTCCGGGCGAAAAAAAGTCAAAAAATTCCAAAATTTAAATCCACGCTTTTTGAGATATTTTGTAGGTTTCGAGGCACGATGTCGAAAATCCTTGAGATTTTAAGAGATACATCTCGGGGCCATATAATGCCGTTTGGAAACACATATGATCATTATATGTTGTCATAAATGTTCGTGGTAGGCTTTAGTTAATGAAATCGGTGCAAGTTGTAAACCGGTAAATTGGTCGTTTAAAGGCAAATTGGATGGTTCCACCCATGCAATTCAACTCCCGGAGGTTATTAGGGACCATGCAAAACATTTCAACAATTTTTATTAACAGGCGAAAAAAGTCAAAAAATTTCAAAATTAAAGACTAATATCCATGCTTTTTAAAAAATTTTGAAGGTTTCGGGGCCCGGTGTCGAAAAGGCTTGAGATTTTAGGGGATACATCTTGGAGTCATGTAATGTCGTTTAGAAGCATAAATGATCATTATATGCTGTCATAAATTTTCATGGTAAGCTTGAATTAATGAAATCGGTGCAAGTTGTAAATCGATAAATTGGTCGTTTTAAGGAAAATTGGGTGGTTCTACCCAACCAATTAGACTCCCGGAGAGTATTAGGGATCATGGTAAACATTTAGGCAATATTTATTTCTATGAAAAAAAGGTCAAAAAATTCCAAAATTGAAGGCTATATCCACGTTTTTTGAGAAATTTTGGAATTTCCGGGCCCGGTGTCGAAAATGCTTGAGATTTTAGGAGATACATCTTGGGGTCATATAATGCCGTTTAGAACTATATATGATCATTATATGTTGTAATAAATGTTCGTGGTAGGCTTGAATAAATGAAATCAGTGCAAGTTGTAAATCGGTAAATTGGCCGTTTAAAGGCATATTGGATGATTCTACCCAACCAATTGGACTCCCAGAGGGTAGTAGGGACCATGGTAAACATTTCGGCAATTTTAATTTCCGGACAAAAAAAAGTCAAAAAAATCCAAAACTGAAGACTAATATCCACGCTTTTTGAGTAATTTAAGAGGTTTCAGGGCACGGTGTCGAAAAGCCTTGAAATTCTACGAGATAAATATAAGGGTCATATAATTTCATTTGGAACCATATATGATCATTATTTGTTGTCATAAATGTTTGTGGTTGACTTTTATTAATGAAATCGGTGTAAGTTGTAAATCGATAAATTGGACGTTTAAAGGCAAATTGGATGGTTCCACCCACCCAATTGGACTCTTGGAGGGTATTAGGTACCATTGTAAACATTTTGGAATTTTTTTTTTCCTGGCGAAAAATAGTCAAAAAATTAAAAATTGAAGGCTAAAATCCACGCTTTTTGAGAAATTTTGGAGATTTACGGGCCCGTTCTCGAAAAGTCTTGAAAATCTATGGGATACGTATTGGGGTAATATAATTCCCTTTAGAACCATATATGATCATTATTTGTTTTCATAAATGGTCATGGTTGACTTGTAATAATGAAATCGATGAAAGTTGTAAACCGGTAAATTGACGTTTAATAGCAAATTGGATATGGTTCCAACACCCCAATTGGACTCCCGAAGGGTAACAGTGAACATGGTAAATATTTCGGCAATTTTTTATTTCGGGCGAAAAATGGTCAAAAGATTCCAAAATTGAAGGCTAATTATCCAAGCTTTTTGAAAAATTTTGGAGATTTCAGGGCCCGTTGTCGAAAAGTCTCGAAAATCTATGTGATACATCTCGGGGTCATATAATGCCGTTTGCAACCATATATAATCATTATTTGTTGTCATAAATGGTTGTGGTTGGCTTGTATTAATGAAATCGGTGAAAGTTGTAAACTGGTAAAATTGGTCGTTTAAAGGCAAATTGGATGGTTCCAACCACCCAATTGGACTCCCGGAGGGTTTAAGGGATCATGGTAAAAATTTCAACAATTTTTATTTCTGGGCGAAAAATAGTCAAAAAATTCCAAAATAGAAGACTAATATCCACGCTTTTTGAGAAATTTTGGTGGTTTCGGGGCCCGGTGTCGAAAAGTCTTGTAATTCTATGGGATGCATCTTGGGGTCTTATAATTCCGTATGAAACCATATATGATCATTAAATGTTGTCATAAATGTTCGTGGTTGGCTTGAGTTAATGAAATTGGTGCATGTTGTAAACCGGTAAATTAGTCGTTTAAAGACAAATTAGAAGGTTCCACCCACCCAATTGGACTCGTGGAGGGTAATTGAGACCACGTTAAACATTTCAGCAATTTTTATTTCCGGGCGAAAAAAGTCAAAAAAATTCTAAAATTGAAGGCTAATATGAACGCTTTTTGAGAAATTTATGAGTTTTCAGGACTCGGTTTCGAAAATTCTTGAAATTTTAGAGAATAAATCTCGGGGTCATACAATGTTATTTGGAATCATATATGATTATTATTTGTTGTCATAAATGTTCGTGATAGGCTTGAATTAATGAAATCGCTGTAAGTTGTAAACTGGTAAATTGGTCATCTAAAGACAAATTGGATGGTTCAACCCACCCATTGGACTCACAGAGGGTATTTGGGATCAGGGTAAAAATTTAGGAAATTTTTATTTTCGTTTGAAAAATAGTAAAAAAAAAATCAAAAATTGAAAGCTTCAGGTCCCTAAGTCGAAAAGTCTTGAAATTCTATGTGATACATATCGGGGTCATATAATGTCGTTTGGCACTATATATGATTATTATTTGTTGTCATAAATGTTCATGGTTAGCTTGAATTAATGAAATTGGTGTAAGTTGTAAACCGGTAAATTGGTCGTTTAAAGGCGAATTGGATGGTTCCACCCACCCAATTGGACTCCCGGAGGGTATTAGGGACTATGGTAAACATTTCGGTAATCTTTTTTACGGGCGAAAAGTAGTCAAAAAATTCCAAAATTGAAGGCTAATATCCACGCTTTTTGAGAAATTTTGAAAGTTTCAGGGTCCGGTGTCAAAAGTCTCGAAATTCTATGTGATACATCTCGGGATCATATAATGCTGTTTGGAACCATATATAATCATTATTTGTTGTCATAAATGTTGTGGTTGGCTTGTATTAATGAAATCGAAGAAAGTTATAAATCGGTAAATTGGTCGTTTAAAGGCAGAATGGATGGTTCCAACCACCCAATTGGACTCCCGGAGGGTATTTTCGTCCATGGTAAACATTTTGGCAATTTTTATTTCCGGGCGAAAAATAGTCAAAAATTCCAAAATAGAAGGCTATATCCACGCTTTTTGAAAAATATTGAAGGTTTCGGGGCCCGGTTTCGAAAAGTCTTGAAATACAATGTGATACATCTCGGGGTCATATAATTTCGTTTGGAACCATATATGATCATTATTTGTTGTCATAAATGGTCGTGGTTGGCTTGTATTAATAAAATCGGTGAAAGTTGTAAACCGGTAAATTGGTCGTTTAAAGGAAAATTGGATGGTTCCAACCACCCAATTGGAATCCCGGAGGGTATTATGGACCATGGTAAACAATTCAGCAATTTTTATTTCCAGGCGAAAATTAGTCAAAAAATTCCAAAATAGAAGGCTTAATGTCTACGCTTTTTTAGAAATTTTGGTGGTTTCGGGGCCCGGTGTCGAAAAGTCTTGTATTTCTAAGGGATACATCTTGGGGTCTTATAATACCATATGGAACCATATATGATCATTAAATGTTGTCATAAATGTTCGCGGTTAATTTTAATTAATGAAATCGGTGCATGTTGTAAACCGGTAAGTTAGTCGTATAAAGGCAAATTAGAAGGATTCACCCACCCAATTGGACTCCCGGAGGTTATTAGGGACCATGTTAAACATTTCGGAAGTTTTTATTTACGGGCGAAAAATAGTCAAAAAATTCCAAAATTGAAGGCTAATATATCCACGCTTTTTGAGAAATTTTGAAGGTTTCGGGGCTGGGTGTCGAAAAGTTTCGAAATTCTATTTGATACATCTCAGGGTCATATAATTCCGTTTGGAACCATATATAATCATTATTTGTTGTCATAAATGGTCGTGGTTGGCTTGTATTAATGAAATCAGTGTAAGTCGTAAACCGGTAAATTGGTTGTTTAAAGGGAAATTGGATGGTTCAAACCACCCAATTGGACTCCCGAAGAGTATTAGTGACCATGGTGAACATTTAGGCTATTTTTGTTTTCGGATGAAAAATAGTCAAAAAATTCCAAAATTGAAGGCTAATATCCAAGCTTTTTGAGAAATTTTGGAGGTTTCGGGGCCCGGTGTCAAAAAGTCTTGAAATTCTATGGGATACATATTGGGGTAATATAATGTCGTTTGGAACCATATATGATCATTATTTGTTGTCATACATGTTCATGGTTGGCTTGAATTAATGAAATCGATGTAAGTTGTAAACCAATAAATTGGCCGTTTAAAGGCAAATTGGATGGTTCCACCACCCAATTGGACTC